GCAAAACAGATACCTGGCTTTTAAAGAACAATTAAATACAAGAACACGACCGGAAGAAATAATCAGCACTGTTCCAGACTTAACATCAAGCACACAAGATTCTTCGACAGCAACGGCAGCATTCTCCACTCCCATTAACCCCTTCAACGTAACAACTAAATTAACACAAGCGGCTATCTTACAAAAACCTGAAAACGAAAGCTCCACCCCACCACTAACCTTAAATCCTGGTTTCCTGACCCCTCCTCCCAAAGTAGAAACCCCATCACAAGGCCCGAAGCGCAAAAGGCGTCGGATTCAATTTGTAAATTATTTGGATGATCATAATGCTCATGGCAAACAGAGGAAACGAACTCGGCATAAGAAATTTCGAGTTAGACCTTACAAGTACTCCATGGCCGAAGAAGATGATTAATTTCCATCTCTTTCAAATCGCTGTGTATCCGACTCTTTTTGTCACTGGATTTCAATAAAGTTTTTAAAACGGTATCTCTCTTGTGGTTTTATTGCTAGCAATTATTAGTCGCGTGTTCAAATTGATCCTTGTTAAGTTATTAATTGTTTGTGTTTTTACAATAATAAATCAAGGTGCTCCCTTGGGTCTAGCTGTAGAGATGAACTAATTTATATTCAAGTTTAGGCTTGGTAACCCGCATAATTAACTGACTAACGGCGACCATAAGCTCATCAAGCGCCGAGATTTCAATAGTTAGTCGTTTCCTCGAGATAGAACGGAGAAAACGCTTTCGTAATGGTGAGTCAAAATTGAAGTAGAGAGTTTTCAGCTCCACTCTTTGTATGTGTGTGTTTTGTTTATATATCCGATTTTTAGCGCTAAACAAGAACACATGTGTTGCCAGGCGATCGCACCTCTCATTCCTATTTTTATAAATAGCCTTTCCACTCATTAGGAACAAGAATGCAGTTGATTTAAGAACCAAAAGAGTTAGGGTTTACTTTAGAACCACCTGTTGTTTTCTATAGAATTTTCATACCCTGTGCAATACTTTCTACAGAGTCACGTAAACAAAAAATGACATTTTTGCTTGATAGGCAGTTTTTCGCTTCGCTGAGCTTTGACCTCGTTTTCATGTTTTGCCTGAAAAATGAGAACGATTTTGCATTCGCTTAACCTCCTTTTCCCTTCTTTTGAAGTAAAGTTTTTTAAGCTAACCTCCGTGTCTTGGTTTTGTTTATAACCGATTTTTAGTGAAAATAATTTAATGATTAAAGATTTTTAATTTAGTATAATCTGCAAAGATAACGCGTTCAAAATTTGTCCGCTTTTATTTTGAACACATGACAGTTTCTACAATATCCAATCAGAAGACTATAGAAAACAATATCTAATCAGAAGACTGTAGCAAATAGCTAATTATATAAAAATCACTTTTCTGTTTATAGATTATGATCACAACAGGAAATTCTGACGTCACTTGCTCCTAAAAATAAACTATGACATCATCCTATCTTAATGGAATGCATGACGTCATCGGCATTAATTCAAAGTATGACATCATCCTATCTTAATGAGATGCATGATGTCATCTGCGTTAATTTATACCGCACAAAAAGTTATTAAATCCGCAAAAAAACGGCGTAACAGGTGCCTTATCCACTACTAGCAGGCTTTACACATATAACACCTATATTATCACACATGGCGTTAAAATGTGATAAAAGATACGAAATTTCAGCCATCTTTGCATTGCTCGATAAAAGCGTCTTCAAAATGTGGGTACTTCTGGTTACTTCTTAGCCTGTACAATATTCCGGACTTCATTTTGCTGGCGTGAGGTCCACATTTCAGGGGCACCCAACGAGAATATAGTTGAAAACCACTTAAACATAGCATTGTTAAACGTATTTTAGTATTTAAACGGTAGATATAGACACAGTTTATCCCTTAAAAAATTTTTCATCTGTTCGGATTTCCTAACTGAGGTCAAGAGATTCGAAAATTATAGGGATCAAAACTTACGTTTTCGAAAACTTCAGCCAGAAAAAAGGCTCCCGAAAATTCTAGGTGACCTTTTTAGGGTTTTCGCGTGGTCATTGCACGCGTGCTGAACAAGAATGCTGTATAATGACAGACTAGAAACAATAGACAACTGCCAAAGCACAAACTCGGCCAAAACGCTAGAAATCTTCAATGTTTACTCAAGTTTGGGCTTATAGAAGATAATGTCACAGTTTTTCAATGACCGTGAAATTCAGACTCGGGGTAGTTAGTTAATCAATTGTGGCCCTGAAAAAATTTGAAGAAAAAAAAACTACGAATTTTTAAGAAAATGCTTTTTTCGTGAAAAGGACTCTTAAACGCTGACAAACGTCAACAAATAGCTAAAACTATAATTTCTATATGTTTGCTTTGCTGGAAATCGCACGTATTTACAAGGCCCTAAAGCGTTTTGCTGACTTGCAAGGACCCATCTGTTATAACGATCCCCAAAATAAAGGAATAAGTCTCATAGTTTATTAGATATAATGCACCTATCAAAGTAAACCCCGTGAGGGTGGAGTGCGGGCAAGGGGTGGGGATTTGACAAATTTTGAAATTTTTTGATCAAATTCCCCAGGATAGGAAACGAAGGGTTGATCAAACGTGTCAAAAAAGCCCCCACCCCAGGGGAAAAAATCTAAACAAACAATACTATAACACTATATAAAACAAATTAAAAGAATATTTCAAAAGTACGTTCTTACTACTTTTATTTATGGTTACTGCGCTTTTCACAAACATGCGAATTCTGAAGTTCAAAAGCCAACTGACGATTGCGTTTTTCGCTGCCATCAATCATCTTAACGGACCTCTTAGGAAACAAAACTTTACTTTAACGGGTTCAAAAGGTCAAGGTTTGTGATTTGTGATTGGTGGATTTCGATCCGTTTTGTGTGTTTCTGTGTTTCCAGGTTCGTTCCTTGTGATCGTAATTATGATTGACGGCAGCGAAAAACGCAATTGTGAAGGCGGCTTTTGAACTTTAGAGTTCGCATGTTTGTGAAAAGCGCAGTAACGTAAGCTCCGTTGAATTACTCGCTGTAATTAAGTATTTTCTCTCCCCACTAGCATCTCCTATTTTGAACAACAAAATCACTCCAGGAAGATTGACTGTGCTATTATAATATTAATGAAACGTAAAATGCTTTATAACATCTGCTCAACATGTCGGAACAGGTCGGATCAGTGACCCGTAAAAAATCCTCTGACTTTCATGGTGGAATTCGGTTTCAATCGAGTTTTACAATCAGATGGGAACGTGAAGATAAAACCTTTCTCAAAATAGACATTATTAACTCCATACCTTTCTCCAACAGCGTGACTTTCAGAAAGCCTCGAGGGACGGACTTGGTAACCGCTTCTGAATTGATACCAGGCTTCTGTCGGTCAAAGTCAAATGTCCCGACCCCGGAGTCGCTTCGCACGATCAAAAGCCCGACCGGGGGATAGTCTCAGGCATCAAATCCCCGCCCCTTGCCCGCACTCCCCCCTCACGGGATTTACATTGATAGGTGCATAATCGTGTAAGGCTTGCTTATCATTTTCGCATAAATTATGACCTAAATTTGGAAACCGCTGAATTTCTCGAATTGGGTCTTTGCGATTCTGGTGAAACTCTGTTCAGCGCAAGGCAGTAATGCGCACTATGTGTAGCCGAGAGATTTTCACGAAAAAATGCCGGCAACAGCAGATTTTCGACTCAGACCTCAAAGGGGCGTGGCATTATAACCACGTGGCATTTACTCCGATCGCCAAAAAATTTTATGTTATATTGTAGATTGATCTATATGTTATCCATTCTATGTGTTAGACTTACGATAAAAGTAAGGGTGGGGATACCAGAGAGCTTCCAGGTAGGATGGTACCCCCCCAAAAAAACCGGGTCGAGTCACCTTAATATTCACATGGACAAAACGGGAGGAGTCGTCGAAACTCCCATGAACTAAAATAGTCCAAAAGTCAAAATATAACAAAATAAAGCTAAGATACCTTCAACTGAACGTATCCTTGTCTTTCCTGGCCGGTTAAAGTGGTATTTTGACGAATTTTGTAATCGTAGGTACTATCCACTAAAGAAGAATTAAAGGCTGTCTATAAAACAAACGGACCATCTCCACGCGCCTTCACGCGAAGCGCTATAAATGCGAGAATAATCGACGAATCCGCTCCAAATTGTTATCGGCTAATCTGCAGGTAACGTGTGCTTCGGCTTCTAGCTCGCTAGCTCCACAAAACCCATCGCAACTGCGCGATAATCACTCGCTCATCAACAAACACTGTTGACTTTTACGCTTCGATATGACCGCAAAACTGCCAGGATTAATATGCGACGTGAATGTTCAAGCTTAGCGACCGCGTCCGCGCGACAATGCAGCACTTGCTATGGGAGGGATGTTACTATTGCTTCTAGGTCAATCAATCGGGAAAATAATATTGAAGCCCTTGTAATTTTAAAAAAAGATCCAAATTGCCCTAGGATCACCGAACAGATACCAATTTTATAGCGGAGCTTAAAAAAATGAGCGGCAGTGGAAAAAGTGAACAAAAACATGCATGTGCCACCCAAGTTTCCAAGAACCAGGACGTTTTCTGAACGTTTCACGTTGTACTCATGCAAATTAGTGGCAAGGAAATGTACAAAAAAGTGTGCAACGTCAATTTTCGGAAATATGTGTTCGGAAGACGATTTGAGATCTAGAATTTTCGGAACATTTTTTGTATAATTTCTTGTTTGCCTACCTCTTTTAGGATTTTCGAACATCTAAAAATAGGTATAATTACCCATTTTTAACGGATTTTTACCCCAAAAATGTCACCTAGAATTTTCGGGAGCCTTTTTTCTGGCTGAAATTTTCGCAAAGGTAAGTGTTGATCCCTATAATTTTCGAATCTCTGGAGTTTCAGTTAGGAAATCAGAACAGATGAAGAATTTTTTGGAGATAAAAATATGCCTATATGTACCGTTTAAATGCTAAAATACGTTTAACAATGCTATGTTTAAGTGGTTTATATTCTCGTTGGGTGCCCCTGAGTGACACATACTACGCCTGGGCCGCCTGTGCTGTGTGCAGTCTCAACTCACAAATCTCTCCCGCATCAACTGCACACCGATTCCACCTGGCCGACCAGTTGAGTCTCTTATCATGGGTATTGCGATGTGTTTTGTTGTGGGAAACTTTTTTGAAAGTTTTCGGTTCTGTTGAATCTGACGTGCGCTCAGAAAACTCGACGACTACGTGTTGCGTGGCATACGCGAATGACTTTAGAACGTTTGACTGTCACACAACAAAATTAAAAATTGCAAACCGTCCGGTAGAAGAAGCCAAGAAAATGAAATGTTATAAAAGACTAATACATAAACAATTTGTCCAAGTCTCAGGTCTTTTTTGCCCACATTTTTCCGAGTTATTTGCCGAAACGTTTCAAGCACCTTTCTAGAGTTTTGTATGGAGACGCCATATTGGTGTACAGTTTTAGTCCACCAATTTGGCCGCCGGAAATCAACAAAAACATCTGGAGTTCACTTTTTCTATAAAAGCTCGTTCTTTTCACTCGAGAACTAACATACACGCGCATAAACATATGTTGTAATACTTGAAATGGTTGTGCTGCTGAAAATCAAGACGAGAGACTATTTTTCAGCCAGACAGCATTCCTATTTTGGTGTCAAGCACTGTGAAAACTCGGAAGTTCAAATTGCTGTATTTTCGAAATGAAACATGCTACGGGAATGGAAGCTTGTACAAAGATTTATTTTTGGTATATTTTCAACCTAGTGTAAATATGAATTCGTAAAACCTCGCTATTTTGACTTTACAATTTGATGACGTCACCCTGAACCGCTCACGTGCAATATAGTAGACTATCTGAGGGTAGGAAGATTCATGTTTTGTCACGTAATATTGATTACCACTGATTCCCCAAGTCCATGTCCGTGATAAACCGAAATACCGTAAAATTCCGAAAATAAGCCCCTCCATGTATAAACCCCCCAAACCGGTAACGCAAAAAACCCTCCGTTCAATCTCCCCTCCAAATATAAGCCCCAGGGGGCTTGTACTTGGAAAATTTCCCTCAAATACAAAGTAAAACAAAGCAAAAACGATAAATTTACTTCCAACTATAAGGCTAGCCCAATCGATTTTGAGACGCAAATTTCCCTCCGTAGATAAGCCCCTCCAAAAATAAGCCCCTCAAAAATGGCCTTTGAAAAATATAAACCCCGGGGCTTATTTTCGGAATTTTACGGTATCCATAATTCGAAAAGTTGACCTCGAAGTCAGTTTTTAGCTCTTCTTTTGCAAAGAGAAAGGGAGTTAAAGACCACTGAATGCTACGTGCATCGTATCTATATTACACTTATATGCCGAACATATTGGCAAAATTATCGTTTAATAGCTAGAGGCGAAGACCAATTAAATCCATGATCGCCATAATTTGGATTTCAACCATAACGCAATAACCCCCGTGGAGAAAGAGGAATAAAACGGAATCAAACTACTTGTTTTTCTTTTCACATGTTGGCACACAACATTCCGTGTTTTAAAAACACTTTCGGCTATAATATGTTGGCGTTTCTGACGAAATATTATCGAAACCTATTTCTCAACGAAAAATAATTACTGGAACTTTAGTAACGGTCTTTGACATGCAAATTTAATTTCAGCTAATTCAATTTCGAAGGAAAGGCTAATAAATTCTGTAGAATATGCATACATAATAGTATTTTTGATTCAGTTACTGCAGAATTACAATTTTTTTCTGCTAATTTGCGGTTCTGGGTTAATTTACCGTTTTCTGTCCGCTATTTTTTACATGACCCTGTTTGGAGAAACATTCGAGGTATTTTAAATTAAGTAATAAATCTGACCTGCATGGAATCTAATGTTGTTTACACCGTAATAGCCAGCAGGTAGTGGACGTATTTCCGGTCCTTTCGGGCGAAGAGAAACAACAACTAGAAGTACGTCTGCGTTCTCGGGCTAAGGGAACCCCGCTATATCGTTAACTGACGGGAAAATCGTTCCTAATTAAAAAATGCTGTTCTATACCACTTATTACAACTGTGGCAAGCTATATTTCACCCGGAGGCCCGCCGGTTCCTTTTCAATCCTTTGGGGTTTAACTGTATGTTTACAGTCATCACTGGATCTTGTTTTATCTTGTTTAGAAGGATGTTAACCATAATTACTCCACAAATAAATTCTACGAGTCATCATTTTGGGGACTGTAGAAGAGAAGGAACTAACAATACCAGAAAGCGGCTGGGAGATAACAAGCGAGGGTTAGAAAACCAACATGAAACTGTGCTTCATCTTCCCGCTCCTCCTTCTGCTTTTATGCGCAACAGGTGAAAATTTATAACTTTTATCTTACGGACGCCTCACCATTACGCAAATTTCACTTATACACGGCCATATAGCCACAGCGTATAAAGTAACACTTCCACATTTGAAATATAGGGAATCGTTCTTTGTCTAAAAATGTTTAAAAGATACAAGCTTTCGAACGTCTGAACTACGGTCTTCAACTGGCGAAATAATTTGAAAATAAAAAAATTCTTGAATATAGATAACAAAATATATATTCTACTGAAATGAGAGAAAATTTAATTGGAATTGTTTGTTTTATCACAGTATATCAGAATTTTTAGTGTTATTTTCCTAAATTATTTCTCCCATTAAAGAGCGTAGTGGAGGCAGCGAAACGCTTGTACTTTTTAAATTTTTAAGCCAGAGAACGTTGTTTAATATTTTAGGCCATCTTTTCTTTACTTTGCATACTGACTTCATTTTGCTAAAAGAAATATCCCGATTAAATAATCACCAACTTTTGCCGAAAGCCGAATTTGAACGGAGCAAAGGATAACATTAATTAAAAGAGTATATCATTTCAAATAGAACGGACCAAGCATATGTCTAGCTATACACGGCTTAACGGTGGTTCCACGAGCAAAAAAAGGCGTTCTCCCACAGTACGGAAAGCACCTCGTAACGCGTTCATGCTAACGACCCCAACCAAGAGCTCTTGCCGCAACTTGGTAAGATCCCGAAACTTTAATTACAACAGGCCGGTTATTTCAACGAATGAAGTCTCAGGCAACGTTTCTAGACAGTCAGTGGAAGCCAAATGTGGCATTCATACGCCGGGTTCGACAGTTAATTACATACCACGGCGGGTCACTATTAAAACCGAAATGTTTATGTTATACGGTATAGGTTTTTAAACATTGGTGAAACAGTGTTCTAGTTACTGACCATATCCATATTTAAGCCTTGGTTCAATGGTTCATTAATTTCAAACTTTTTAGATAGAAAAGAATAAAATAATAACAGCACGGGTTATAAAATGTGTGTAGTGGTCAATAGTTGGTCAATAGTTGGTCTATAGTTGACCACAAACCACTTTCGAATGAAACGAAGAAATGACACTATAAGCTTTATTACAGAATGTTTGGTCACAAAGAGAAATGTACAGCCCTTCAGCAAGGAAAAATGTACAGCCATAACATGCCATAAACTAAGGCTCGTGTTGTAAATCTACAAAGACAAGGGAGAAAGGTTACTACTTAAGAAGTTACTACCCTGGGTTTTTAATGATATTTGCCCCGGTGTGATTTGACTGAACAAATCAGGGTTAATTAAAAAAAAATCTTATGACACGGTTAAAATTGCGATTTTCTTTAACCAGAAACCTTTTAGAATTCATGAATAAATTTCAGGCTGGGGGTTGAAAAAACTTCTGGACTCTTGACTCCAAAGGGTGTTTGAATGAATATGTAGCATGTAAATTTTTAAAACATCACTTCTAAATTTTACGCGTTATTATGTTAATTTTTATTTTTCAGTTCAGTCGGGTAGTTATACCAAGAGAGATGTTTATCGTATCACGTTGATGGCAACACTAAGACAAATTAAAAGAATACTTGGTAAGTAACCGAATCAATGAAAAAGCGATTTCAAAGTTGTTTTTTATAGAACATCATCCTGTTTTAACAAACAATCAGCTCAGTTTTCACCAACATTCCCTTTCTTATGTACAGATATTTATTTTGACTTTATTCAGAATTAATTGTTGGATTTCGGTCTTTTTTTCCTATTTATTTTTCCTTTGTTTTAAAATCTAATATTACATTTTCCCCAAACTGAGAAAACTTCACACCTCTTTTAGGCGTTCCTTGTCCACAGGGCTGGGTGCGATTTAGAGCATACTGCTATTTTGTCAGTAGCTCTATCAAGACTTGGCAAAATGCCCAAGCGTACTGCAAAGGACTGGGAGGAAATCTGGTGAAAATCAACAGCCAGGAAGAAAACGAGTTTGTACTAAACCTGGTAAACAAGCTCGCCCCATCGCTGAAGCAGATTTGGATCGGACTCGAGTGGGATTCTCAACTAAAGGCCTTTGTGTGGTACGATCATTCAGTTCCTACCTTCACCAAATGGTCCCCAAATGAACCAAATGGAAATAGTCGAGAGCCTTGTAGCAACATGTGGACTGGTCACGCAGGGTGGTCTCTTAGGGCATCTGGCGACTGGAATGATCTCACTTGTTGGGTTCCTGGTTTACCCTGTGGTCTTGTCTGCAAGAGGCTGCCCTAGATGTTAAGCCCGCTTCATTCCCGATCAAAGCCGAAAGTAGAGTGTAGTGGAAAATTAAAGCAGATTCTGGGTCGGCATTGTAAAATGCAGACAAGAAGACATTTTAGTCAGGGGTGCTAATTTCTAAAGGGTTAAAAAAGCGGCTTGTGACTGAAATAAACATTTTGTATCCCTTGTATCTTGTTTGTTTTTTCTTTTATGTAGAGAATTCTTTTTTCTGGTCCATTTAGGACTTTCAGTGGCAGATCCAGACCTTCAGATAAGTGGGGGGGATGGGGAGGGGGGGAGCCCTGACATAAGAACGGAACTGGTCTCNGTCGCCTCCCCTGGATCCGCAATTTTACCACTCAAGAGACGTTCGCAGAAGTGCTGCTCACTGATTTTATGTCGTTTCAAAAATACTCTTTACAACCATTTGACAGGCAGTGCGGAAAAGCGTGAAAATAGCAAAGGATGCAGCAAACTTATGTAGGAATATCCGTACTTGTTCTGATTGCTCAGACTGTTCAAGGGAAGACAACCTTATCGACGGAAGATCCATTTGAAAACATTGAGGAGATCCTTATCTAAAAGCTAATTGGCAGCGCAATCGAGTTACGGTTGCTTACATCAGTGTACTTTTAAGAGATGTTATATTGCTAACAGTATCAAACGTTTCAGCCATTTGCTTGTTGGGTTTCTATCGGCCGTTAAGGCTAAAAAAAATTCAGAAATGAAAGTTTAAAAAACGAGCACCAGTGTACTTGATCCGCGAAATTTAGTTACCTTGAAAAACGGTGATTCGTGAAAATCGCGAAATTCATTCCAATAATCAGGTAAACAAAGACTGTTAGGCACTTCTGTTTGACTTCCGCTGCAGTAAGGTTTTGTAATTATCTCGTCGAAAATGATAAAATAGTCTTGGAAAAACAGACAGTTATCATCCTTTTTCACTTTTTCTGCGTGGTTTGGTTTGAAAGTCATTGTTGATATTTATTAAAAAGTTGCGATGCGTGTAATAGTATAAAGAGGTTTCAAATTACGTATGCAAATTTAATTATATTTTTAAAACAAAATTTCGAAGTCAGCGTTTTATGTTTTGCTTAGAACGGTACACTTGAAGATTTATGAAATTAGCTGTTCAACTTTAGCTAGGTTATATAAATGCTATGTAAAACATTTATTTACCATTTTGACAACTGTTAACACCGTATTTCTCATTCGCTATCGCGACTGATCCTGACGCGACCCGACGCAGTTTATGTATAAAAAACAAACGCATTTATGATTAAGAAGGTAGCCTTCATATTAAAAAATATACAGACTCAATTGTCCAAAAGTTCAGATAAGCAACCAATTGTTGTTTGTTGTTGTTTTTTTCGGCCAAAAGTGAAACTTTTACTCGTCAAAGTGCACGATAAGGGGTGGACGCGCATGAAAGCACTGAAGGGCGGTGTGAATTTCTGCAGATGCGAAAAAGTAAAGTTGACTGATAAATATTCAAAACTTGTGTATGTCTTTTCCATAACTGAAAAGCCGAGACTCGATTTTTGCGTCTAACAGCGGAAAATCAAGTTTCGGGTGCTTCTGAGCAGCTTTAGATAACACGCCTTGCGTGCTTTTGCGCACGTTGAAAGGGCGTTGTGCTATTTCGCACGCAGCGAGCTGTTGGGTAAAAACTTTGACACGGGTTTTCTGTTTTTTAGCTCGCTCACCCTTAATTGTCTCAAGCGTGTCCTCTAAAACAAAAGAAATTGCTAATAATGCAAGATGGCTCGGGTGCTAAAGCGTGTTAAAATGAATTGTTTTGTTTTAAAACGGAAGCGTTTCGTAAGCGTGCTTTCACCTTCAGCATCAAAATTTTGTGGAGGGTCACATATTGTTGCTAGTAAAACTAGACCGCGTAATGAAGCGATAGTTTCATCCTCAAATTAAAAGCTATTAAAGCTTGAACTCGCTGTTCGGATGATCATGGTCTCGCCTCGTGATGTTTACGTCTATCATAAGATCCTGTCTGAACTCGTTTATTCAGCTTCATCCTTCAATGAGTCATCACTTTGACAGAGAACTGTGAGAAACAAAAACTCAAAAGAGCTGCTCAGTAATTCCCTGACCGCTGGTCAGACCGAATCCGAGATGAAACTGTTTTCGGCTATTCTAGCCATATATTTGGCACTTTTATGCGCAACAGACCAAGGTATAGTGTAATTTTTCCATACCACCATACAGATATTTTTATTCGTTGACCTAGCAAATCAGCAAAAGAACTAACTCAGGGGAAAAGAAAATTGCTCAGAACACCTATACTTAAAAATTGGTCACATGGAATAATAATTGATCACAATATCGTGAGCCTCTGTATGATACCTGGAAACGTCGTTTTCGTCGCGTTCAGTTTTCCACCAAATCGTCGATTTTACAAAGAAATCATTTCCGTATGAAGCGAAAATGTTTTGCGTGGTATTAAACGCTACTGGCGACCGGAACAACGTAGAGACGGCGACAACGACAAAGACGAGAAAAGAGAGAAAAAAACAGATTTAATAAGCAAAATAAAAGCACTCAATGCCTTCATCGCAGGAAAAATGTTGTAAAACACTAAAACGTAGTCGGATCGAAATGGTAATACGACTGTTGTTTTAGTCTGACGCTAAAATCGTCATTTCATCATTAGCGATCGTTGCGGCTTCGATGTCGTCAGAAATACTTCTCCAAAATCTTGGTTATGATCACTGCATCGGCTACAAAAAAGATACTATTAGCATTTTTCCGTGAAAAGGTTGCAATTTCCAGTCACTAGTAGTGACTCTTTCACAAATTGAAGATTGTACTTAGATATTGTTGATTTGTGTGAGTGTAATTTTTCTTGCAGTTCAGACAGGCAGTGTAATTAAACGAAGTGTTGGTAATGACGCAATACTTGCAAAACTGCGAGACATCGAGCGAATACTTGGTGAGTAAAAGTTGATCCAGCAAAAAATAAACCCTTTTTTTCCCCCCGAATTTAGAGATAGCTTTCACAAACTGATAGTTAGACTTTGGTCAATTTTTCTTCCAGTCTCTTCTTACAAACAACAGTACGTATATTGGTAATTATTTTGGCGCTGTTCAGTTTTATAATTTGGCGTTAAGCGCGAAAAAGAATCCTCTTCAAATTTAAACACGCAAAATTCAATGACCAAATAGTCCATAGAATATTCAAATCATAGAAAAGATGATAACTCCACTTCGCATATAATTATAACAGCATATGCACAATTAAGATTTGAAAAAGACACTAATAATCAACTGGTTTTTAGTAAGTTCCGTTTTGTTTAGGTACTTTCTATGAAAGAGGGTGTCAATTTATTGATATTCGCACATAAAGGAGAAAGTCTAGCTAGTATCCGGCCGGACGCCCATACAGTTTATCTACATATTTAGAATGTCAGAAATGTTGAAAAAAGAATTAAGTTGGGAACACTTGAATCGCGAAATTTAATGCCTTTTTTCATATGCCATTCATTATTGAAATCGTGAAAACTGAAGAGATAAGAGCCCGCGAAAACCTGCCACAAATGTAACCACGAAGTTCATTACCGATTAGGTTTTAAAAACTCTTTGTCCTACTTTTCTTTCAGGCGTTCCTTGTCCACATGGCTGGGTGCGATTTAAGGCATACTGCTATCTTGTCAGTAACTCCATCAAGACTTGGCAAAATGCCCAAGCGTACTGTAAAGAACTGGGAGGAAATCTGGTGAAAATAAACAGCCAGGAAGAAAACGAGTTTGTACTAAACCTGGTAAACAAGCTCGCCCCATCGTTGAAGCAGATTTCGATCGGACTCGAGCGGGATTCTCACCTAAAGGCCTTCGTGTGGTACGATCATTCTGTTCCTACATTCACCAAATGGTCCCCAAATGAACCAAATGGAAATGCTAAGGAGCCTTGTAGCAACATGTGGACTGGTCACGCAGGGAGTTCTGTTAGGGCAATCAATCAATCAATCAATCAATCAATAATCTTTATTTATACACGATAAGTATTAAAGCGACGCTTCGCTTGTGCATCTGGCGACTGGAATGACCTCACTTGTTGGGTTCCTGGTTTACCCTGTGGTCTTGTCTGCAAGAGGCTGCCCTAGATGTTAAGCCAGCTTCACTCCCGATCAAAGCCGAAAGTAGAGTGTAGTGGAAAAATTAATGTAGATTCTGGGTCGACATTTTAAAATGCAGACAACAAAACATTTTAGTGCTAATTTCTAAAGGGTTAAAAAAAAGTGGCTTGTGACTGAAGTAAACATTATGTATCTCTTGTGTCTTGTTTGTTTTTTCTTTTATGTGGAGAATTTTTTTTCTGGCCCATTTAGGTCTTTCAGTGGCAGATCCAGACCTTCAGATAACGGGACAAGGGCGAGAGGGGGGAAGGCCGGTCATCTAGACCCTGACACAAGAGAGGGGACTGGTCTCCAAAAAATTTTTGTTTTCGGTCCTTAGGGCCTCAGTTTGGTCTAAAAATAAGGGGCTGGGTCCCGGGCCTCCCATGCCCCTTCCCTGGATCCGCAATTCTACAACTCAAGAGACGTTCGCAGAAGTGCTGCTCACTGATTTTATATCGTTTCAAAAATACTCTTTACAACCATTTGACAGGCANGCATCTGGCGACTGGAATGACCTCACTTGTTGGGTTCCTGGTTTACCCTGTGGTCTTGTCTGCAAGAGGCTGCCCTAGATGTTAAGCCAGCTTCACTCCCGATCAAAGCCGAAAGTAGAGTGTAGTGGAAAAATTAATGTAGATTCTGGGTCGACATTTTAAAATGCAGACAACAAAACATTTTAGTGCTAATTTCTAAAGGGTTAAAAAAAAGTGGCTTGTGACTGAAGTAAACATTATGTATCTCTTGTGTCTTGTTTGTTTTTTCTTTTATGTGGAGAATTTTTTTTCTGGCCCATTTAGGTCTTTCAGTGGCAGATCCAGACCTTCAGATAACGGGACAAGGGCGAGAGGGGGGAAGGCCGGTCATCTAGACCCTGACACAAGAGAGGGGACTGGTCTCCAAAAAATTTTTGTTTTCGGTCCTTAGGGCCTCAGTTTGGTCTAAAAATAAGGGGCTGGGTCCCGGGCCTCCCATGCCCCTTCCCTGGATCCGCAATTCTACAACTCAAGAGACGTTCGCAGAAGTGCTGCTCACTGATTTTATATCGTTTCAAAAATACTCTTTACAACCATTTGACAGGCATTGTGGGAAAGCGTAAAAATAGCAAAGGATGGAGCAAAGTAGGAATATCCGTACTTGTTCTGATAAGATTGTTCAGACTGTTCAAGGGAAGACAACCTTATCGCCTGAAGATCCATTTGAAAACATTGAGGCGATCCTTATCTAAAAGCTAATTGGCAGCGCAATCGAGTTGCGGTTGCTTATATTAGTATACTTTTAAAAGATGTTATGTTGCTAACATTATCGAACACAGTTCAGCCATTTTTTGTTGGGTTTCCATCGGCCGTTACGGTTAAGTAAAATTCAGAAACGGAAGTTTAAAAAACGAGTACAAGTGTACTTGATCTGCGAAATTTAATTACCTTGAAAAACGGTGATTCGTCAAAATCGCGAAATTTGAGTCCCGCGAAATATTCCTATTCCAAATTCGCGAAATTAAAGTCGCGCGAAAATAAGTGATAATCAGGTAAACAAAGACCTGTTAGGCACTTCTGTTTGACTTCCGCTGCAGTAAGGTTTAATTATCTCGTCGAAAATGATAAAATAGTCTTGGAGAAACAGACAGTTATCATCCTTTTTCACTTTTTCTGCGTGATTTGGTTTGAAAGTCATTGTTGATATTTATTAAAAAGTTGCGATGCGTGTAAAAGTATAAAGAGGTTTCAAATTGCGTATGCAAATTTAATTATATTTTTAAAACAAAATTTCGAAGTCAGCGTTTTATGTTTTGCTTAGAACGGTACATTTGGAGATTTATGAAATTAGCTGTTCACCTTTAGCTAGGTTATGTAAATGTTATGTAAAACATTTATTTACCATATTGACAACTATTAACACCACATTTCTCATTCGCCATCGCGACTGATCCTGACGCGACCCGACGCAAGTTATGTACCAAAAACAAACGCCTTTTATGATTAAGAAGGTAGCCTTCATATTAAAAAATATACAGACTCAATTTTCCAAAAGTTCAGATAAGCAACCAATTGTTGTTTATTGTTGTTTTTTTCGGCCAAAAGTGAAACTTTTACTCGTCAAAGTGCACGATAAGGGGTGGACGCGCATGAAAGCACTGAAGGGCGGTGTGAATTTCTGCCGATGCGAAAAAGTAAAGTTGACTGATGAATATTCAAAACTTGTGTATGTCCTTTCCATAACTGAAAAGCCGAGACTCGATTTTTGCGTCTAACAGGGGAAAATCAAGTTACGGGTACTTCTGAGCAGCTTTAGATAACACGCCTTCCGTGCTTTTGCGCACGTTGAAAGGGTGTTGTGCTATTTCGCACGCAGCTGTTGTGTAAAAACTTTGACACACGTTTTCTGTTTTTTAACTCGCTCACCCTTAATTGACAAGCGTGTTAAAATGAATTGTTTTGTTTTAAAATGGAAGCGTTTCGTAAGCGTGCTTTCACCTTCAGCATCAAAATTCTGTGGAGGGTCACATATTGTTGCTAGTAAAACTAGACCGCGTAATGAAGCGATAGTTTCATCCTCAAATTAAAGCTTGAACTCGCTGTTTGGATGATCATGGTCTCGCCTCGTGATGTTTACGTCTATCATAAGATCCTGTCTGAACTCGTTTATTCAGCTTCATCCTTCAATGTGTCATCACTTTCACAGAGAACTGTGAGAAACAAGAACTCAAAAGAACTGCTCAGCAATTCCCTGACCGCTGGTGAGACCGAATCCGAGATGAAACTGTTTTCGGCTATTCTAGCCATATATTTGGCACTTTTATGCGCAACAG